GTCGTCTTTCTCAAAAGTCGGCGATTTGATCCACTGCAGAGGTCCAGCTTGCATCAGCATTCAAATCGCTGGGAGAATTCCATCGATGGGCTTGTATTAGGTCGCTGCAAAAGGGTTGCGGGTGACCAGTACACCTGTTGTTGACAAGGCTAGTTTAGGAAGGCAAGCTGCGCGTTCGAGTTTCAGGCGATTCTCGTGCTACTAGCCTGCTTGAGAGGAACCTAGCTCGATAGCTGCCGTCAGCTCGGGTTATCTTCTCGGACGATGACAAGTTCCATCTAATTTTCAAAACCAGGTTTCTATGGGAGAATGGTTCCGGAATCGCTAGATTGCTGAATCATTTGACAGAGCCTGTCCAACCATTATCTCAGAAAAAAAAGGAAAACACGTGTAGTGCCTGCTTTGCCTCAGCAATAATGGTTCCGGTGTCCAGGGAATGCGGAAGTCGGAAGCGGAATCACGCTTCAAAGGCTCAGTATGTGGTGTCGTAAACATTTGGGTGGGCATACTGCGTTCCCTTCAACCGCAGCACCGTCGCTCTGTCATTTTCAGAGACCTCATACCTTTTCAGTTTTTCGCGTTCGATCTCCCTTGGAACATATCTACTGGCATCAGTACCCGCAGTACATTGGGTATTCCCAGCGTAGGGATCTTGCTCACTGGAGAGAAATGGCTTGACTTTTCGCTTGTCTCAAATGCGCTATATACCCAAAACCGGCGCAGTTCGGCGACGCGGGGGCATTTTGCTTCCCATCGGTGTGTCGACCCATCTAGACAGCCTTTTCTTGAGTTGACACGTTTTACCATGGTGGCTAGACGAGCTTGCTCCAGCTTCACAAGAGTTCACAAGTTTCACCAGAGTGAGACTTGTAAACCGGAAGTAGTGAAGCAGTGAAAGTGCAAAATGCCCCCCGTCGCCGAATTGCGCCCCCAACACCTACTCCACCTCCCCTTTCCCCGTCCCCGCCCTTTGGCAAGGTTTTCGGAGAATGAGTGGAGAAATCTGAGGAACTTTTTGGAAAGAAAGCCCCGGAAAAAGCAGTAAAAAGCTGGGAGAATCAAGGAAGATGATAGGTGTATGGCCATGGGGAGCGGAGGTACGTATCGGAGGAAGACATTTCAAAGGGGGATAGGCGGTGGCATTAGCTTGAATACTTCCTTACTGCAGAACCTGCCCTGATTGGCATGCGAGGAATGGTGCCACATCGGCCATGTGCTGACACGCCATGGGTGATACAGTGATCCTCATCAGCGCGCCTCCCAATATAGCATGTCCCCTTAGTTATCCTAAACCGCTTCTTTTCGTCTGATACCTACACAACTGCATTCATCATCAAATTTAGTTAAGGATAAAGCTCGTTCTGTTTGTAAAGTCGGGATACCTAACTAGCGAGATGTAAAGAAAAGAGTGAGAGTGTCGAATAAAGTGGAGTCCATGTCCGGAGGACTGTGCAGTCGTTTTCGCTGCAGACGCTGGAGGGGCCAGGGGGGAGGGGGCCGGGTTCAGCGCGACGTCAGCCCGTTTTCGCCCGATTGCGCTCGCTTGCCTGCGCCAACAACTGGTGGAAATCGGGCTGCGCCGTGCCAATCCTCACCTCACCCGTTCCAGCGTCTGCAGCGAAAACGACCGCATAATGGTCGTTAGATGCCACTTCGGAACTACCTTCCAGTAATCAGTTCAATCCATAAGTATTATTTACTCAACCGTAAAAACTTGAGGAATATTAGCCACTTCCAAAATAAGCCTTCAGAAAAAGGAAACCCTCCATTATAGAATGAAAAACTTCATGTGGGAGCAGTAGTAATTTCGCCCTACCCTGAACATAACAGTTTTGCAACCCGGCGCTACCCCTGCCCCTTGCCGAAAGCGTCGCAGTTTTACTTTTCGATAAATGACTGGATGATCATTTTGTCCCTCCCCTTACGGAGGTTCTTTTTCAACAAAACCATTCATGTTCTAATTTTCGAGTGCGAACTAATTTCAGCCGTTCGCAGTTCAATCAGATGCACGTGGACGACGCCGATAATTACAATTTCTCGCCAAGTGTTCCGACTGTAGCTGGTGAGTGTCAGATCACAATTTGACATTTTTAGAAAACTTCCGTAAACGATAAGCATCTGTCGGACTTTGCGATGACGCGCCTCGACGTGCTGTAACGCGCAACGACGCACTGAAGCGTACTATCATTGCAACAGCGCTCCAATCTTATAGACGTGAACGTAACGTAACCGCATATGAGAATGCCGGCGCCGTGCCCGCGCCACTCTAGTGCAGATCACTACCGATATCAATATGCGTGATGGTTGACGCGTACCTTCCAACTCTGCATCTATCTTCCTGCATAAACGGTGATCGATTTCCGTCTGTGGCTGCGTTCGCGTCCATAGGGATGTCCTGTTGTCACTGTGGCGCGTCACAGCGCGTCGACGCGCACTATAGCGCTTCAGCGCGCGTCATCGCGATGTCTGACCGCCGCCTGAGACATTCACCAGGGAAATTCGAGCAGTTTCAACGGCCCAGGTTAGACCAGGAAGAAAAAAGGTGGAGATCTTGCCTTTTGATCGTGGACGTTAAAGGTGAGATCAAGGGAGGAGCAAGGCAGAATTAAGGAACAAGACTTTTTTGGCTGACCCCGGCGCGAAATGACTGTTTTATTTCCATTACTAAGCGTGACTGCCTTATGTGATGGAACCATTACTTTTTTGCGCTAGACTAGTTTTGTTCTACTTCAGAACTTTAGAATAGTTAAAACTAGGCGTGAAATATCCTTTGAAAACAATTCAGCGGGCTCGTGAATACGAGTCGGCAATTTCACGCCATTATTGTGAGAATTCTCGATTATTCTCCCTAAGTTTTTTTTCAGGTGCAATGCGTTCAGCCAGAACATTGGGCGACCATTAGCTACTACGAGATGAACACTCGAGTAGGCGAACAAATTCGAGTGTGTCTTTATTTCCTACAAAGTCTTCCAGTAGAGGGCCCAGCTTTCCCCCCCCCCCACCCGTTCTGAGTATCATAACTTAGGTAACGTCTTCACCAGTGTTCATCGACGGTTATACGGATCCTACGAATAATCCGCAAAAAATCAGCCTGGGACTGTTCTCCAACGTTAATCGAAATCCACCGATTGAAAATACCCGGCGGCTCATTGGAAAGGGTTAGTTGCTCAGCTTCATTACTTCATCCGCTACGACGAGTATAGGAACTGGTCAGGACAACAGGAGCGATGAAACAGCTCTCTTCTGTACACAGCTGAATGTAGCGGAATGTGTAGTCCTCAACAACGACTAGACGGGGCGTATAACTGTGAAGTGGATTTTGGAACGACGCCAACACATCTTCCACCAATTAATGTTCGCCTCGCCCAGCAAAGTCTGTTGGAATACGAGCTGATGCCACGACCAAAATCATGTCACAACGACACGTCCCGTCCATTCGTTGTTAATACTGTGAAGTTGAATCAAAAATTTAAATTGAGAACAAATAGCCGGGGTTTTTTTTCGCTTACGGGGTGAAGCGGTTGAATACACAGTTTACGACTTACCTGAAAGGTAGGATACTTCACTGTTACAAGGTGCGTAGGTCCGCAGTCGCAGAATTAGACCAGATTCTTTATCTCACAGTGCTGTTCGCTGCTGATGATGGGCGTGTTCAAAAGGCTGGGCGACATCAAGTAGACGTCAAGTGAGTGAGAAGAGTGCAAAGGAAACTCCTGCTTCGTTTTGGCGCGTTTTCTAGTAGCAGTAGTGGCACATTTCTGCGGCTGTGGACTTAACCACTTTAATACTTGTCGCTATTAGGGAAGCCACTTTTCTTGGTAACTGTACAGTGCACGAACACTGTGGCGGGCGGTTGTCGCTAGCGTCATTGGCGGAAGTTATGAGTGGAGTGTAGCCAAACGCCCTCTCGCAGCCCTTTCACCAATGACGTTGGTAATAACCGCCCGCCTACAGCAATCGTGTCTACTGCTTTTAGAGTTTGGCTAGTGTTAGGGTGAACAAAGAAGGCCGCTACTTTGACACTGTTTGGCATGGGGAAATATATTTAGAAACTTTGTTAGGGGGAAAAGGAATTTGCAGCATTTATTGTGTGTCGCATGCGAACAGCAATTGTTATCTTCACACCAGGTTCCGTAACAAATACCATTAGCAAATAGAACCCAAGCAAATCGCAACCAATTCATGAGTTAAAAAAGTTGTTCTTCATTTAGGAGTCAAGCTGACCTACGTGCGTCATCAGGGCACCCTTTTTGCCGAATGTGAATCTGATTCAGCTATCTTTGTACAATCACGGAACTGCAACTACATTCACGGCTTTCATCCAACTACTGTCGTCAAAATTGCTAACAAGTGCTCTCTGAAGATTTTCGACGAACAATGCTTCCGAAGGGTTCGTTATTTATCCTTTGAGGTCACAGACTTAAAGGCACACTCCATAATAACTGAGTGCGACAATCCTTTCCATGTTAATAGAAGCCAAGCCCGTAGCTACATAGGGCTGCGTTTTTACTTTGCGGCAGCACCAGCCAGCGAACAAGCGCTACGAATGCCAAGCGTAACCGCAGCGCAGCGACTAGTCCCAAGTACAGAATCGATCTAGCGTTTGCAGCGCTGCCAGACGTCCTACGGCGGTCTGAGGTGGAGGTATTGAGGAAAATATGAGAGACAACTGCCGTTAGAGAGTATGGATTAGGAGGTAGCAGACAGCTGGTATCTGACCGCCCGCCCACCTCTCTAGTGCAGAACATTCGCCCTTCTCCCCCCCCCCTCTCCATTAAATTTAAGATTCTTCTATTCTTCCGCATTACTATAAGGAACTCTCCATCCGCCCCTAAAACAGTCCATATCACGCGTCTGATCTGCACCATGCACACGGTCCGTGTTTTTCCAGGTCCCTGACCTGACTCGCTGCAGTGAAGGACCACAACTCGCCACGGCCATTCATGATAAGATTTATGTTCCAATAAACGCTATCGGACACTAATTTCAAATCCGGCATCCAAATATCCTCAACGATTCTGGAAACGGAGTCATGAGCAATTTTTTGCGTCTGCTATACGAATTTAGCGCTGATCCTTTGAGTCAGCGATTTTTATTGTATTGACTCTCGGGAAAGGCATAAGGTTCGAAAGTAGTGGGGCACCTGCACTTTTCGCGTTTCTTGAAGCGTGTGCTTGATCCTTGCAGAACGGTGTCTGAGACTTCGACTGACCTTTGAAGGACCAAAAAACATTTCGAATGTTTTCATCCCTGATTAGTGGAGACTGTCCTCTGGGGTTTCTGCAAATGGGTATATCATGATTTTGTGGAAGCTTTCAAAGCTCCCTCAGAGCTCGAGGTAGTTTTCGACTCCCATATTATGAGTTTCTGTAGGGCCACTCTGCCGTAGTCGAGGAAGCTAACACCTACGTTGTCTTGAAGGATATCGCTTGCCATGGCAGAGGGCAGCTTTGCACCAGCCCTTCTAAGCTGGTGTTCTTCAATTCGGAGGTAGGCAATGTATAGGTCGGCCTTCTGGAGGCGCAGCCTACGGTAACCACCAGTAAGTTGGCAAGCTCTCTAGGCTCCACCTAACTGACAACTGCCATGCTTCTCTGCAATCTCGTTCAAAAGGAAATTTTTTTGTGAAGGATGCCTCATGAGTTGGACCAGTCTGACAAGCGCACCGAATGGTCGTGCTGAGTTTTCTTTCCCTTGTACACAATGGAAGAACTTTTGTGAGATCTTGTGGTTGGTAGCGAGTGGTGGAGTCCTTGCGTACATCATGCACATGTCCCTCGCAGGATCGCTGGGTGCTGGCACAGCGTCGGCTACACTCTTCACTAATCAACATGGAAACATGGATGATGTCACGCTTGAATTCATTCAGAAACACTCAATTTTCTTTGTACTACTCGGCAATGCGAAGACCGCATGTGAGGATCAGGCATAAGGCAAAAGATCATGGATCTCGATCAGGGAATGCGACCGTGCCCAGCCTAATGACCAAAGTTGGCAGTCTCTAATAACCACTTCCTTTGATCCCTACCGCAATCTTTAGAAAGCAAAATTTTCGAAGGCATCTACTCGAAAATGAGGTCCATCTCCTCTTTTTATCGTAGTTGCCGTAGTTCTATAAGAGTGGAGATGAGTAGCTGTGCAAAAGGTGGGCACTAGTCCTAGTCATTGATTTTGATTACCTTGTAGATCGGGGGTGTCCTTTAGTGAAGGAAAATTTGGTCCGAAAATTTGGTCAAAGTGTCGCAGGA